CTACTCACGCGACATGAAACAGCACGTCGAACACCTACGACGCGTCTTCGAAACTCTTCGACGAGAACGATTCTACGTCAAACTGTCCAAGAGCGAATTCGCCCTGGAGAAGGTCCAATTTCTAGGACACATGGTGAGCGCTCAAGGAGTTCACGTCGACCCCAAGAAAATCGAAGCCATACGTACGTGGAAGACACCCGAGAACGTGAAGGAGTTGCAGCAGTTCCCAGGCTTCGCTAATTATTACAACAGGCTCGTGCCACAGTAAGCGAAACTCGCAGTGCCACTCACGAATCTGCTGAAGAAGAACACACCCTACAAATGGGAATCAAAGCACCAGGAAGCCGTGGAGTAGCTGAAACAAGCACTCACGTCCGCACCGGTACTCATCTTGCCAGACCCCGAACGCGACTACGTCATTGAAGCAGACGCCAGTGATCAGGCCGTGGGTGCAGTCTTGATGCAAGACCAAGGGAATGGACTGCAACCAATTGCCTACCTCAGCAAGAAACTGCACGGGGCAGAACTAAACTACCCGATACACGACAAAGAGGCCCTGGCTATCATCATCGCCTTCAAAGCGTGGAGATGCTATCTCGAAGGACGAAGAACAACCGTCTACACCGACCACTGCAGCCTGAAATACTTGAAGACACAACCCAACCTTTCCAGGCGGCAGGTCCGGTGGATTGACTTCCTCGAGACACACTTCCACTACGACATCGTGTACAAGCCCGGCCACAAGAACAAAGCAGACGCTCTCAGCCGGCCTGCACACGTTGCCGCGATTCAGGTCGAAGGGATGAATCCACTACTCAAGGGACTCTTCACCCACGGGTACGCCATCGACCCCGAAATTCCCTTGGCAGAAAAGCGACATCTGCTACAGTGGGACAGTGACATCGCGTACCGGAAAGGATCAACGAAAATCTGGGTACCCAATTACCCTCCTTTGCGCCAGTTACTACTCGAAGAATACCACGACGTCCTCTACGCCGGACACTTCGGTAGCAACAAGACGCTGACCGGTATCGCAAAGCACTACTACTGGCCCCACTTAGCAGAAGATGTCCAGAAATTCGTCACCTCGTCTGATACATGTCAGCGGATGAAGAGCAGCAAGCAGAAAAAGGCGGGACTACTGCAGCCTCTTCCTGTCCCAGAACAGCCATGGCAAGTGGTCAGCCTCGACTTCATCACCGGGTTACCACCTACCACCAACTGTCATGACGCCATCCTTGTCGTCATTGACAAGTTCTTTAAAATGGGACACTTCATCCCGACACGCACGACGGCACGCACCGAGGAGACAGCACAGCTCTTCGTTCGTCACATCATCTCACAGCATGGCATCCCAACCACACTCATTTCCGACCGCGACCCCAAGTTCACCAGCAAGTTCTGGAAGGAACTCATGTCTCTACTCGGCACCAAACTCGCCATGTCATCCGCATACCATCCGCAGACAGACGGACAGACCGAGCGCCTCAACCAAATTGTTGAGCAACTCCTCCGAGCAGCCTGCAAGGACGACATCTCCAAATGGGACTTGCACCTGCCCGTACTCGAGTTTGCTTACAACAATGCTACACATGCCGCTACTGGACAGACGCCATTCTTCCTCTGCTACGGACGCCACCCACTCACACCACAGAAACCGACAGCATCAGCTACAGTCCAACCAGCACATGATTTCATCACAACCATGCATCAACTTTGGGATCGGACCCATAAGCGCCTCCTTGACATTCAACAGCAACAGAAGCGCCAAGCCGATCGCCATCGCAACGACCACACCATCACGGTGGGAGACCAGGTGCTTCTTGACACCCGCAACCTAGACATCAGCCACCTCCCATCTAAACTTCGACCTCGCTTCTGCGGGCTTTTTCTCGTTGAAGCACAGGTCACCCCTGTTACCTTCCGCTTACGCCTGCCAGCTACCTGGAAGATTCACAACGCCTTCCACGTCCAACTTCTGAAGCCCTATCGGGACCCGAACACCATTTTCGTCGGACGCCAACCGCCGCCGCCACCGCCCGTTCTCGTCCAGAATGAACCCGAGTACGAGGTCGAGTCCGTGCTCGCACACCGCCGTCGTCGGAATGGCGCCGTGGAGCTTCTCATCCGTTGGAAGGGTTATGATCCTTCTGAGGACAGCTGGGTACCTGAGTCCGACATGGGTAACGCCCGTCATCCTCTGCATGCCTACCTTGTCAAGCAGGGTGTTACTTCTACCACCCATCTTTGAGGGGGGGAAGTGTGAGAGTACGACCCCGTTACACCACTTGGCCTTTTCTTATTTCCTTCCCTTTTCATTTCTCTTCTTATCTCATCTCATTTGGTTTCCTATTCTTCTTCTTCCATTAACCTTTGGTTTATCCTGCTATTATAATTATATCACCGACCACGCTTGGGATGTACTGGTGCGCTATATCTAGCGTAATCCTGCCGTAATCCCTTAAAGCCAATAGCCTCGCGTGGCTATACGCAGGGTGATTCTATCTTCTAGAAGGGTCTATTCCCTTAGGATAAGATAAACCTGGTTACCTGATGTACTCTGGAAGTATAAAAGCGCCTTGTACTGATCGATAGTGCAACCTTTCCTCGACACATTCGATCCTGTGACACCGGCACTGGGAAGCATCGTCTCGCCTACGGGAAGCAGGCTGCTCTGATGCAGGAGGCAACGACGCAGACGAGGATCGACCAGAATCCCCGTGCCACTGATCTTGAGAAGGAACGGTTGGCGGCGCTTCTCGATTCTCTCTACCTCTGCTGCAGGACGAACGAACCGATGGAGACATGGATCACATTTGCACGCTACCTCGCCTCTCGGTTCTACAAAAACGTCCCCGAGGAAGGTTACGGCACCTACCTGAACTCGTGAGTCGTCAAATTGAATGACTGGTCCGTGGTGTTTTTTAATGCGTCTACTCTAACTCCATTTTTTGCCATTTGTAGGTACGACTTCGGAGAATTCACGCAGGCCACGACTACATGGCTTCAGACAACTCAACTGGAGCATCTTCTGCGGAGCCCGTTCATCGGGCTCAGCCTGGACGAGAGCACTGATAGGTGTCGGGAGAAGCACATGATCGTGTTCGCGACCTTCCTTCGTGAGCGTCGGGTGGTCACGGAGTACCTGGCTCACCTTACAGTCGACAAGGCGGACGCTGCCTCCCTTCTGGCGTTGCTACTCTCCCACCTCCAGGCCATCGGAGTGGATCTTTGTCGGATCTCTGGCATCAGCACTGACGGGGCAGCAGTGATGATGGGCGCGAAGTCTGGACTTGTTACTCGTCTCCGACTGCGCATTCGTCACCTCGTCTCCTGCCACTGCATAGCGCATCGGTAACCGTGTGATTTTTTGCATTCGTATTTCGGCCTGGCGAGTAGCCATGTATGTGTTGCCTTGTCTAACTCTCTTTAACTGTTCATGTTCTGTGCACGTCCTTGCGCAGTGAGGCTCTGGCCGCCAAAACCGCGGCCGATGACCTCCCCGCCTTCATGATGATCAACGCTTTCTCGAGCTTCAGGATGTCTTCCTCTCGACGGCGCTTGAGCTGCAGGGTATTCACCACGTTCGGTTGCTTTCCCGCGGGGATGCCATCCAACGGTTGGTGAAGGTTTTGCCGGCAATCATCGTGATGCTGTCTGAGTTCCCAGACGATAGGCTGTATACCATTGTTACCAGCTATCGTTTCTGGTTTCTCTTGATGTTTTTGGCGGATGTGCTTGAGTAGATGAACACGCTCAACAAGATCTTCCAGACGCGTCAGGTAAACTTACTGTGTGTCTTTGCTAAACTGCTGGACTGACATCTTTCCGTGCCTTACCTGTGTGCACCACCCCCTCCTTGCAGCTGGACATCTCCACCGTCCACTCATCCATCGCTCGCGTGAAGTCCCTGCTCCTAAGCCGCTACGTCGACTGCGGCGACGACTTCAACGGGGCGCCGAAAGACCGGCTCACGGAGTTCCTTACCCTTCACGGCCCTTCCGGTTCGCGGCGCGTCACCGTTGAGGGCATTGACTCAGACGGTCGCCCGCGGCGGTTCAGCTTCATCCTGCACATGAAGGACATCAGCTATCCAGGTGAGGGGAAGCACGATGACTGCATCACGCTGTGCATGGCAATGGCGGAGGGCATGGCCAACAATTTGGAGGAGCGGCTGGGTGACCTGAAGCAGTTGAGTGGCGTCATGCTGTTTTGTGCTGACCAGTGGCCGTTGCAATGGGCACGTGCGGCCAGGATCAAGCAGTGCATCGAGTGGTTCCATTCCCTTGTCCTTCTGTACCACGCGGAGGGAGCTGAAGAGGTCTTACCAGGTAAGGTTTTAGCTCAATCCAAGTGGTCTCAAGCACCGAAGTCTCAACATGATTGCTTTACTTCCCCTTACCTCGTTGACAGGCATTGACACGCAAGCGGCCGTGAAGGCGATTCCCCACTTCACCCCCGTCATTGCAGCGCTGCCGCAGGGCGAGAAGGGATTCTTCACAGGGCTGACGACCATTCTGAAGACACCGGACTGGGAGCACAGCTACCCCAACCTTGTAAAGTTGTGGTGTGCAACGGCGGTTCTTCCTTTGAGTACAGTGGAGTGTGAGCGCGGGTTCTCCCGCCAGAACGTCATAAAAAGCTGGCTGCGTGGCACCTTGAAGGACTCTCGCCTAGGAGACTTAATGTGCATGAGTTTGTTAGATTACGAGCCGGACTGGGACGCCGTGATAGAGATCTGGAGAGCTTACAAGAAGAGAAAGCCGTGTAGCTGCGCCCCACAGAGCAGGGCCCAGAAGAGTTGCAAGGGAAAGGAACTAGTTGAAGACGTGCCTAGAGAAAACTATGATAGTAGAGCGGAGGAGGATGAGGAGGAGGATGCTTAAGTAGATGATGTATATTTTATGCTTGTTTCTAAAAATTGCTAGTGTTCATGTTCAGCGCCATTCTAGCATGCAACCCTGTTAACTCAGGATTTTTTTTTAAGACACCCCTGTCAGCTCAGCGGAAAAATTTTATGTAGTCCTGTCAAATCAGGGAACAAGGTGGGGGGGAACCCTGTGCAATCAGGGTACCTTAAAACCAATCTGAGGCCCTGCTTCGGGGATTACAGTGCTGGTATTTTTTTGTTCATCAAAATCTCACATTGTACCACAATCAATCCTGCTTTGCGTTTTCAATGCTAGGGGGGCTTCGCATGCTGCTGCTCTTTTGGCCACCACTCTGATCTGACGATACTGCTGCTGAGATTATTGCACTGCCTCCTGGATGTCTTCCACCAAAGTATCCTCCACCTCTCACAACAGCGTCTGCGCTTGCTGCCACTGCTGCTGCCCTTGTTGCAGCAGCTGCGTGCGTTGCAGCTTCCGTTACCACCAAAGCACCCCCCCCTGACACGCTTTGCCCTCCTACAGCTCCCTTTTGCCTACCCGACACACGATTTGTGGCCACAGTGACTGTTGAAGCAAGCTCAACCCCGCCACTGTTTCCTCTGCCGCTGCCGATACCGCTACCCTCACCGCTACCACTGCTGCTATCTGCAGCAGGCACATCAACAGCACGTGTAGCCAGAGCAGGAGGGTCACAAGTGAGTGCACTGGCTGCCGACAGTCCATCTGCAGCCTGCCTTGGCACCAGGACGGCTCCCTTTATCTCTGGTGCAGGCACAGGCATGGCGGGGGAGATGGGAGAGAGGGCTAGAGGAGCAGCAGCAGCAGTGGCAGGGAGAGAAGCAGCAATGGGAGAGCAAGGTGTGGTGGTAGTAGCAGCAGCAACTGCAGCAGGCGCAGGAATAGGAGGGGCACGAGGAGGAGGAGGCAGGCTGACAGCAGCAGCAGCAGGAGTATCTGCAGGAGCATCGACAGTAGCAGCAGCAGGAGCAGCGACAAAAGGCAGAGGGGCGGCGGAGCGGGGGCTGGGAGTGGGGGTGGCGGAGGCAGCGGCGCGCAGCAGCGAGGCCACCACCACGGTGTGGTTGTTGTCCCTCGCCTCGTCCATCGGCGTGCGGTGCCACCGGTCACGCACACTGGGGTTGGCGCCTCCCTGCAGCAGAACCTGAGGATTAGGGTTTGGGGATAAGGGGAGGAGGGTGGGAGTGGGTATCCTTGCTGCTGGTTGACTCGTCCATTGCCAACCACCGGTCCTGGGTACTGGGATTGGCCCGTCCCCTGCAGCAGAACCTGAAGGTTTGGGGTTGGCACGGAACTTAAGGGAAGGGGAGGTCACGGAGACAGAAGAAGGAACCATTTGAAGGGTGGGGGAGGGGGGAGCCCTGAAGATACAGCGGGAGACGCCAAGGAGTTGAAGGGAGCGCGAGAGCGCAATCACTAGAATTGACTTAACTGAAATGCCTCGTTGGAAACGAGCAATTCCTCGCCTTGGCCCTGAGGCATCGTTTGATCAAGTCACTTCAGTCCTACACCCGTTGACTCCCATTGCCTCCGTTGACTCCCATTGCCTCCGTTGACTGGCTCCCATTGCCTCCGTTGACTGACTCCCATTGCCTCCGTTGACTCCCATTGCCTCCGTTGACTGACTCCCATTGCCTCCGTTGACTCCCATCGTCTCCGTTGACTCCCATTGGACCATGTCAACCACGCTTACACCTGTTGTCTCACCTTGACCCCAATTGACTCACCTTAACCACGTTGACCCACCTTGACCACGTTGAGGTGCCCCTCAGCCGCAGCCACATGCAGCGCGGTGCGGCCGTCATAGTCAGCGGAGTTGGGGTCAGCTCCAAATTCCAGCAGCCGTGCCAGCTGGTGCGAGTTGGACGAGCTCGCCAGGCGGCACAGGTGCGTGCCCTGGTTGCGCAGGTGCAGCTCGCCCCCGTTGCTGGTGGAGGGTGTTAGGGGTGGGCGAGTGGGTGCGGGGTGGGGGGGGGGAAGGGGGGGGGGAGAGAACACATGAGTTGAAAAAATGGAGGCGCTTGCCAGGCGGCAAAGGTGCGTGCCCTGGTTGCGCAGGTGCAGCTCGCCCCCGTTGCTGGAGGGGAAAGAGAGGTAAGGGGGGAAGAGGGGGAGGGGGATGTGTGAATGTAACATATGTGAATGGGATGCAACTTCAGCAGCCAGGGCAGGCGGTGTGAGTTGGCAGACCTTGACAGGCGGCACAACTGACTGGTTAGAGTGCACAGATGAACCTCACCTGCTGGACTGGAAGGGGGGGAGGGAGGGGCAGTGAAAGGAGCGCCGGGTGGTGGCGGTGATGGCGGTGGAGGAGCAGCCAGGCAGGCGGCACGTGTGCTTCAGATGATTGCCCGGTTGGGTGCTGCCCTGGTGACTGGAAAGCGAAGGGGGGGATAGAGGGAGAGGAGGGGGGGATGTGGGAGAGGAGGAGGGGATGTGGGAGAGGAGGAGGGGATGTGGGAGAGGAGGAGGGGATGGGGGAGGGGAGGGGAGGGGGAGAGCGAGGTGAAGGGGCAGAAGATGTGGTGAAATGCCTGCACATGGCGGGAGGATGCACATGGCGGGAAGATGCTCATGGCGGGAAGATGCACATGGCGGGAAGATGCTCATGGCGGGAAGATGCACATGGCGGGAAGATGCTCATGGCGGGAAGATGCACATGGCGGGAAGATGCTCATGGCGGGAAGATGCACATGGCGGGAAGATGCTCCCCGCAATACTGCGAAGGTGTCTTTCCTGCGTGACTTGAGTGAATAAGTGGATACGAGGAGTGGTGCCACAAGGAGACACTAGGTGAGCAGTGGCCTCATCAGCTGGTGCTTCACCCACTACACGGCCATGCTCTTTCCTCCTGTGACGCCGAACTCTACGCCAACACCATGGCTGCACAAGAGGGCTACTAGCTCACCTTCCTTCTCACAGAGCTTGGTTACCCTCAACTTTGCCCTACCATCTGGTGCCAGCATGATTCACCTCACCAAGGACATCGTCTTCCACAGTCAGTCCAAGCACATCGAGCTCTGCTACTTTTACGTATGCGAGCATGTTTAGAGGGTCAACTTGCCGTCCACAAGATCACTAAAGAGGTTAAACTCGCTAACATGTTCACCAAGACCCTTCCGAAGCCACCCACACGGCCTTGCTTCCTCTACTTGGGGGGGTGTACATTGGGGTTGGGGTACATACAGGTTGTACCTTTTCAAGGGTGTACACTTGAAGGTGGGGTAAATACAAAACCAATACTGGCTGTTACTCAGCCCCCGATTTGGTTGTCCACCCAAACCATCATGGGTCCCTCCAATAAGTGGCCAGCCGAACTTAACGCCAAACCAATGAACTTGGAGCTCCACTGATTGTTTCAACCAATAAGTTAGTCAAACCCAACATTAGGCCCAACCAATCAGCGAAGGCTCCCTTTGGCACCTTTCTCCTTCCTATGTAAATCCAGCTGCTCAGTTTCTCGCATCGCACCGCTGGCTCACCTTCTAAGAAGCACGACACTGCTGACTGACAGTTTGTGGAGCATGGCATAGCCAACTGACCTTCTGAGGATCTCAGCCGTGCTCCAGTGGCCCGCAGCAACGGCCTCCTGCAGGGGAGTGCGCCAGAAGGCATCCTTGGCGTTCACCTGCGCGCCGTGGGCCAGCAGGAACTGCACCACCTTGTCCTGCCCGGTCACTGCTGCCAGGTGCTGTTGGGGTTTTGGAGAGAGAGGGGGAGGAAGAGGGGAGAAAGGGGACGTTAAGGGCAGCGCCTCAGGATCTGCACCACCTTGTCCTGCCCAGTCACTGCTGCAAGATGCTGCCTTGTGAGGGACGAGAGGAAGGGGCGAAGAGAGGAAATCTCCAGCAGCCGCAACATATTCAGCAGCCGCAACATATTCAGCAGCCGCAACATATTCAGCAGCCGCAACATCGAAACCAGAAGCAGCAGGGAGAGTGGTGGAAACATGGTGACTGCCACTCATACAGCCCACTCACCATGGGCGTCCTGCCATCATAGTCAGCGGCCGCCACATCAAAGCCGCCTGCAGCGAGTCGGAAGCACTCGAGCATGTCGCCTCTCTTGGCTGCATAGCACAGGTTCATCAGTGTTTCCTGCACCAGGCGGTTGCGGAAGGACTGGCGGAGGGGGAGGGGGGGAAACGGCAAGGAGAGAGGAAGGGGTGGAGGTAGGAAAAGGAAGGTGGCTTGAATCCCATGCTCACTGCACATAGTGCTGCCACATGCTGCATTCCCCACCTCCACCTCGTTCTTCAGCAGCAGCGACAACTCTGCCAGGGTGGGTGCTGTTGCACTACCCATGCTCACTACAAACATGTGCTGCACACCACCACCTCCACCTCCCCCCAAACTCACCTCCACCACCCTTCACGCTCACCTCCACCACCCTTCACGCTCACCTCCACCACCCTTCACGCTCACCTCCACCACCCCTCACGCTCACCTCCACCACCCCTCACACAGTCACACTCACCTCCACCTCGTTCTTCAGCAGCAGTGACAGCTCTGCCATGGTGCTGTTGCCAGGGTAGAAGCGAGCTGTCGCTTCCGCCCTACTGCGAGCCCTGTGGCGTGAGGTGAGGTGAGGTGAGGTGAGGTGAGGTGGGGTGAGGTGAGGTGAGGTGAGGTGAGGTGAGGTGAGGTGAGGTGAGGTGAGGTGAGGTGAGGTGAGGTGAGGTGAGGTGAGGTGAGGTGGGGTGAGGTGAGGTGGGGTGAGGTGAGGTGAGGTGAGGTGAGGTGAGGTGAGGTGGGGTGAGGTGAGGTGAGGTGAGGTGAGGTGGGGTGAGGTGAGGTGGGGTGAGGTGAGGTGGGGTGAGGTGAGGTGGGGTGAGGTGAGGTGAGGTGAGGTGAGGGGGATACAAGGGATACGGGGGTGAGAGGGATACGAGGGAGAGAGGGATGCGAGGCATACGATGGCACAACGGGGGTCACAGCGTGCCATGGGGCTACAGCCGGGGTAAAAGCGCACCATGGCTTCTGCCCTGCTTTGTGAGAGGTATGGTGCACGAGAGCATAGATCCATGGGTGAGCTCATGCCACACCATAATGCCATGCCATGTCTACCACCCATTTAATGAGTAGGTTGGCGTTCGGTCACACGTCTATCGTCAGCAGAGTGGGTGCGAGCAACACTAGAAAGCCATGCCATGCCGTGTCTGCCACCTAGACATGATCAAAACGCGATTGCGATTTAAATCGCATCGCATGCAGGTGCGATGTTTAAAAAAGCGATGCGATTTTAAATCGCATCGCGCGATTTATTTTTCCAAAAAAAAAAAATCGCACATCGCATTTTACCTGCGATGTATTAATAAATCGCATGCGATATTTAATTAAATCGCAAAATGCGATTTTAAATCGCATCGCGTTTTAAAACAGAATTAAAAAACACCCCAAAAAAACAGAAAAAAACCATGGCTGCGGGGAAATTGACTCACGGGCAGTCGTAAGCTAGAGTGCAAATAACCAGTGTGGTTTCGTAGTGGGTTTCAGAGTGGGTTTCAGTGCAATATCGCGCGCGATTTTTTAAAAATCGCATATCGCATTTAAATCGCGTTTTTTAAGCGCGATTAAAATGCGATTTAAATTAAATCGCGCGATATTAATTCATCGCATCGCGCGATGATTAAAAAAAAAAAAAAAACATCGCCATCGCAAAAACGCGATTAAATGCGATGCGATGCGATGCGATGCGATTTTTTTTGCCCATGTCTACTGCCACCCCACCTGTTGAGCAGGTTGGCAATCACGTGTCTGTCGTCAGCAGGGTGTGTGCGCGCCACGGAACGGTAGTCCTCTCGCGAGATGGACAGCACCCGGCACACCGACAGCGTGCGCACCGTCCAGAGCTCCGTGAGATCGCAGAGGAAGGCGATTTCTACAGCGGGGAGGTCAATCATGTGGGACGGGGGAGAGCGAGGGAGTTGTGATGTGAGAAGGGTCAAGAGGCAGCACGCAGACAGCACCCCACACACTGACAGCGTGCGCACTGTCCAGAGCTCCATCACATCGCACAGGAAAGCTATTTTGGGGGGACGGTGGGGAGGAGGGCCGAAGGGAATAAGAGGGTCACATGGCAATTCAACCGGCCTTGATACCACACATCCCAGATACCATCTTCAACTTTACCCAACACACACCTCCTGTGCATTCCCCCTTACGCTCAGCACACCCCCTTGCGCTCTGCTCTGAGCGGCTTACCTCCCACGCAGTCGCCCTCGTGCAGCACGAACCACTGCATCTCGTTGCCCTCCTTGTCCCTCACCAGCACCTGCGAGAGAGCGAGAGGGTGTGAGAGTCGAGAATCAGGGGAAATAAGAGAGGTTGGGTGTAAGGGGAGGAGCGTGAGAGCATCATGGCCACTACGTCTCGTTGCCCACCTTGTCCCTCACCAGCACCTGCGAGATAGAAGGTTGATGAGAGATAAGAACCTAAGCGAGCCGGAAATGCAGAGGCTTGTGCTACAATGCAGCTGAGACACTGGGAGCTACACTTGCAGTTACCTCTCAAGCTGCAGCAATCACATCAGCGGGCTCAGGTGTAAATCGTAATAGAATGGAGCCATGTGGTGCTGGTGCCTAATCTGCACCCCTGTGACCACACAACTCAACTGGGTGGGTGTGCTCTCACTCAATCACCTGCGCCTGCCCCGAGGCGATGATAAGCAGCTCCGTGGTGCTGCTGCCAGCCGTGCATTGCTCTGCCTGCCCTCACCTGCGCCTGCCCCGAGGCGATGATGAGCAGCTCCGTGGTGCTGTTGCCTGCCGCCACCAGGTCCACGTGCGGCAGGAAGAAGTCCACGTTGGCACGCGTGGTCACTTGGTCCTGGATTCAAGGGATGCACCAAGGAGTGCAGGGAGCCAGGGGATGGCAGAGACAAGGAGTGAGGGGATACAGTCATGCATGAGGGTGAGCTGCATGCATGAGAGGTGAGTCGCATGCATGAGAGGTGAATCGCATACATGGGAGGTGAGTCGCATGCATGGGAGGTGAGTCGCATGCATGAGAGGTGAGTCGCATGCATGAGAGGTGCATCACTCACCCGGAACACGTTGGAGGTGCCGGCAAAGAGGTAGGAGGAGTTGACGAACCGTGAGTACACGTGGCGCTTCACCAGCGTGCGCACGGACGATGGGCAGTGTGCCAAGACGTCGTCCCGCACCTGCGAGCGCGCGCGCGCACACACACACGAACGCCCGTAAGTTGAAAGAACGCACGAAATCACTCGTAACGACGCCTTAAGGCCGCGGAGCTTTGTGTCCGGTTTGCAAGGCCTGTTCGACTATTTTATACGAAACACGTTTTTCTTGAGCTCGCCAAAACGCCTCACAAAGTCTCGACAAAACGGAATTTCCAGGAGCAAGGGTTGCGAAGCTTTGCAGAATTCAAATGCGGTGTTCAACAAAAATCCCTTCTTCAGTAAAGGGGAGAAAAGAGGAACCCTAACCAGGAGAGGAGAGGAACCCTAACCACCGGGCAAAAGAGGAGTGTCTGGGAGACAGGCTAGACCCTACTCACCTCCGCTGTATCGTAGTGCAGCTTCAGGTGCGCCTGCACCTGCTCCTGCAGTGACGAGGGCACCACATGGGCTCGCATGTACCTGGTGGGGACGGAGGGATGTGGGAGAGGAGGGGGCTGGGATCAATGTTGGGATTGAAGGGTTGCGATCACAGGTTGGATTAAACATTATCTCTCAAACGCTCATATACTCACATGCAGAGTGCCCCCCCCACCTGTTGATGGCGGCGAGTCGGTCCCTGTAGGTGGCGGTCTGTGCATCGGCCTTGGTGAGCAGCACAGTCATGTTGCCCAGCACGTACGCCGTGAGCCCCAGGTTCATCAGCATGAACAGCGCCGCCCACATGCGCTCCGGCACCGTGAAGGCCGACAGGTCGCCGTAGCCTGGCGTGAGGGACGGATAGGGAGGAAGACAGAATACGAGTCTGCAAATGTACTCATGGGAGAAGGATGTGATGTAAATGCCGAGAGTGGATGCATGAATGGGAGATTGGAGCCTGTGATGAACGCAGGATAGGGAATGAGAATCATGAGCATGAACAGCACCACTACCCAGATGCGCTCGCACACCGTGATCGCTGACAGATTGCCGTAGCCTGGAGTGAGAGAGTGTAACAGAGGGGAAGAGAGAGGAAGAGAGGGGAAGAGAGAGGAAGGGAATAAGCGGCTGCAAGAATCAGTCAGGGTCCACAAGAAGCGCGCAGACACCGTGAAAGTGGAGAGAAGGACACGTGCTCGCCGCAGCCTGGAGCCCGAGATAGTGAACGTGAGTGTGCATATAGGGTTAGTTAGGTTGTGTGACACAGGAGGGAGGACAGGCACTGGATGAGAAAGCCATGGGCCGACTGAAACTCAAACAAGGCGGCAGAAAGAGGACGCATGCGAGGACACGGGAGGGCAACACAAGGGATGGGGGTGGGAAGTACCTGTGGTGGAGAGAGTGGTCATCGCCCTGCAAAGGACCAGCACATGGCAGCACAGCAGAGGGCACACGTAGAAAAGGCATGGTGCGAGTTGAAGGCCACAAAGTGCACCGGCACGGATGGGGGGATGGTGCATACATGGGCAGATAAAGAAGAGGCATACAGCAACAGAGCATACGAATCTACAAGGAGAAGGGTGGCAAGAACGATGTGAATAAGGGCAGCTTGGAGAGAAGACAAAGGAGGCAGCAGCGTACCAGTAGATGGAGGTGACATAGGCGTCGAGCGGCGGGCGCAGTGGCAGGTCGGGCTCACAGTGGCCCACCCACTGGGGAAGACGGGGGAGGAGGAAGCGGATGACAATTATAAGAATTCCCAGACAGGGGGTGAGAAAGTAGGGAGAGGGGATTGGCAATTGGGAGCGGAAGGGGGATGAAAGAAAGAGACGAGAGAGAGGTAATCATACAAGCATGACGACACGCATAGTCCCATGGCACTGGCACCACGCAGCACAGGCACTATGCAGCACAGGCACCATGCAGCACAGGCATCGCTTTCTTCACTAAAGCTGCGGACCCTAGCTAGCAGGAAGAAGACGCAGGCGGACCAGAGGGCATTGATGCGCCTCAAACCGGGGCACTGGCAGCACAGGGCATGCCAATGTGTGGCTCACCGTTTCCTCACTGAAGTTGCGGACCCTGGCAAGCAGGAAGAAGATGCAGGCGGACCAGTGGGCGGCGAAGAGGATGAGGAGGGCGAACTTCTGCACGCTGGTGGAGATGTAGTCAAAGCGCACGTCCACCGCCATGTCCCACAGGAAGTTCCAGCTGTGGGGGGGAATGGCATGGGGATGGGCAGGGGGTGCAACACAAAGGGACAGTGAGAGACAGTTGAAGTCGAAACGCACGTCCACCGCAATGCCCCTCAGGAAGTCCACCTGGGACGGAGGATGATGGCTTGGGTGCAGAGAGAGAATCACCAAGGGGTTGACTGACAGCTAACGACTGGCCGCGCTGGTGGAGATGTAGTCAAAGCGCACGTCCACCGCCATGTCCCACAGGAAGTTCCAGCTTGTGCAGGCAAGGGCAGTGAGTGTATAGGGGACTGATGACTGCTTGCACTGGGTCACTGCATGCCAGACACACACGTAGCCAAAGCGCACGTCCACCGCCATGTCCCACAGGAAGTTCCAGCTGCGAGGGATAGAGAGGGTCATAGAGCATCGTGACAGGGTAGATGGCGAGATGGTGAGGAACAGAGGCAGTCAAATTGAACGTCCACCACCATGTCCCACAGGAAGTTCCAGCTGGCTCGGGCAAGGACGGATGTAGATGGTCAAAACGCAGAGTATTTGACATAGGGTGGATCCCGAAGCGATGCTAAGAGAGGGATGTAGCCAAAGCGCACGTCCCATAGGAAGCTCCAGGTGGTTGCAGAGGATGGATATAGAGGGTCATAGAGGGTCATAGTGGGTCATAGAGGGTCATAGAGCATGGTGACAGGGGAGATGGTGGAGGAACAGAAGCGGCCACAACGCACGCCCACCGCCCAGAGCCATGTCCCACAGGAGGTTCCTCCAGATGGTGCGGGGGGGAAAGGGTTGAGCACAACAAAGTCATTGACAGCGGCTGATGATGGGATAGGGTGGGTCACAGATGCAGTCTAACGCACGTCCAAGGGGGCATGACAAACGTGACTCGGAGACATGCAGGAGCGATCAAAGAGTATCTCACCGAAGGTGGGTCTCAAATCAAATCAAATCAAATCGAATCGAATCAAATCTATCGTAAGAGACGGATGCAGGCAAAGCGCAATGCAAAGAGGGAAAACAGCAGCCCGGCCCGGCTAGGGCTGTTGGCTTGCGCTCCGCCTTGATGCGTTGTGGGCCTGCTGGTGGACCTGGTGGTGGGCCTGCTGGTGGACCTGCTGGTGGGCCTGCTGGTGGGCCTGCTCGTGGGATGACAGGTTCCACACCAGGGCCCAGCGCAGCACTGCTGGTAGGATGACAGTGACACCCGCAGACCCGAGGAATCTTATATATACCATACCAGGCATACATCTATACGCATAGACTCACAGGCGAATCAGCCTCAGCAGTCGGAGCAGGCCAAAGGCAGAGAGCGCCACAGCAGCCGTGCCCGTGGGTTGGTACACGCCCTTGAGCACGAGGTCCCAGGGCAGGGCGGCTAGCAGGTCGTACCAAAACATGCCACGCAGATACCTGTGGGTGGAGAGGATTGGGGGGAGAGAAAAGATGAGAGGAGTGAGAGAGAAAAGAAGAGGGAAGAGGGGGGGAGGGAAAGACGACGTGGGGAGAGGGAGCAGGAAAGAGGACACGTTTATGGACAAATGCCTAAGACTCGACGCGGAGAATGACCATGGTGCCTGGGGGGTGTGGGAGGGTGCTTCCTGGGGGGGGGGTGAGATGAGAGGGTGGTGCCAGGGGGGTGTGAGAGGGTGGTTCCTTGGGGGGGGGGGGTGAGATGAGAGGGTGGTGCCTGGGGGGTGTGAGAGGGGGGGAGTATACATGCGCAGAGGAATGGGCCAGGGACGGCCCGGCCCAGCCCATCCCCAGCCCATCACAAATCGGACTCGGACCTCCCGTGGCGGAGGCCCGGCCTGTGACGGTCCGACTCCGGCCAGCGCGGCCCGTCGACAACCAGCACTATTCAAACCGCACGGATCTTGCGTTTCGCCCGCCAATCCGCCCTCGCACACCTGAATGCCCTCGCGCATCCATAGGCCCGAGAACTGCCCGCCCGGTCCATCACCTACCAGCCTGGGCCAGACGGGCCACGGACCGGCAATGGAACTGGCCCGGCCCGAGCCTGTCCCTTGCTCATTGGGAGTGACACATGCACCCAGAAAGTGGGGGGAGTGCATGTGAAAGTAAAGAGAAATGCTTACTCGACAGCAATGCTGGCGAGACTGGTCTTCCACTCGCCCATTTTGAACTCGGGCACAAAGAAAGAGAGCAGCACGTCGCTTAGAAACACCTGCGGCACAGAGGGACAGGGATGGGGCAAGGATGGGGCAAGGGTGGGGCAAGGATGGGGCGAGGATGGGGCAATGAAGGGAGAAGGATGGGGCAAGGATGGGAGAAGGATGGGAGAAGGATGGGAGAAGGATGGGAGAAGGATGGGAGAAGGATGGGAGAAGGATGGGAGAAGGATGGGAGAAGGATGGGAGAAGGATGGGAGAAGGATGGGAGAAGGATGGGAGAAGGATGGGAGAAGGATGGGAGAAGGATGGGAGAAGGATGGGAGAAGGATGGGAGAAGGATGGGAGAAGGATGGGAGAAGGATGGGAGAAGGATGGGAGAAGGATGGGAGAAGGATGGGAGAAGGATGGGAGAAGGCAGACACAGGGATGACATATACCATAGCAGTGTGTGCGAATGAACCATAGAGGAAAGGGGGCACCCACCAACGATGAAGAGGTGTGCCTATGTTGACCGCAGAATCATCTTGTCTGAGTCGCAGAAGTGAAGTGAAGTGAAGTGAAGTGAAGTGAAGTGATGAGATGAACGCCACAACGCCGATGAGGACGGCACTGGCGCCCTGGGTCCCGCACTGACCGCATGCATGCCCTGATACCCACACGTACCGCATCCGTGCAGTAGATGAACACGTTGACTAGCGTGAACACGTTCTCCGTGTCCAGGAAGGCCACGTTGAAGGGCTCCACAACGCCGATGAGGATGGCGAGCAGCAGCAGCGCCGCCTGGAACTGCTGGTACAGCGCCGACTGCGGGTTGATCAGCCAGTCCGACAGATACACCGCACCTGGACCACCCTCCCCCTCCGCATCCGTGCCCTCCCCTGCCACTGCCTCGCTCGCTGGAGGGCCCTCTGAGATGGCCTGCGGGGAGAGGGAAGGGATGGAAGGGGGGAGAAGGGGAAAGATGCAATGAACCTAGACCACCCACCTTCTTCCTCCTGCCCCTCCCGTGCTGCCTCGCTCGCTAGAGGCCCCTTTGAGATGGCCTGCAAGATGGAGATGAAGGGAGGGGCGGAGGGGAAGGGGAAGACGCACTGAGCCTTACCTGCCTTCTTTCCCCTGCCGCACCCCCACCTTCCGCCTCTCTGAGATGGCCTGAGGTGACGGATGGGAAGAAAGGGGTACGTGAGTGCTATTTGTCTGCCTGACAGTAATCCGTCCAATCGGCTAGATGCAGTGAATCTAGACCGCCTGCTTCCCCCCCTTGCCCTCCCCTTGTGCCTCGCGCACTGATGGGGGCACCGCTGAGGTGGCCTGAGAGGGTAAGGGGGGAAGGGGAGGGCGGAGGAGGGGAAGGGGAGGGCGGAGGAGGGGAAGGGGAGGGCGGAGGAGGGGAAGGGGAGGGCGGAGGAGGGGAAGGGGAGGGCGGAGGAGGGGAAGGGGAGGGCGGAGGAGGGGAAGGGGAGGGCGGAGGAGGGGAAGGGGAGGGCGGAGAAGGGGAAGGGGAGGGCGGAGGAGGGGAAGGGGAGGGCGGAGGAGGGGAAGGGGAGGGCGGAGGAGGGGAAGGGGAGGGCGGAGGAGGGGAAGGGGAGGGCGGAGGAGGGGAAGGGGAGGGCGGAGGAGGGGAAGGGGAGGGCGGAGGAGGGGAAGGGGAGGGCGGAGGAGGGGAAGGGGAGGGCGGAGGAGGGGAAGGGGAGGGCGGAGGAGGGGAAGGGGAGGGCGGAGGAGAGGAAGGAGGGGACGTGGGAAGGGCGATGAGAGAGATGGTATAGGGCCCTCTGAGAGTGCATCCCTTTGCTGGATATCACGCAAGGTTCTAAAGCAAGCATCGATTCACACTCGGTGCATCCCTTAGCCGAGTTTGACTCCTCTGACGTCCTGCGCTTGCTGGCTAGACTGACGGTGCCCTGTAACGGTCGGTCGGGATGAGGAGAAAGCAACGGGGAGAAAGGAAGGTGGGCTTGTGGGAATTGCGGCTGGGGAGGGAGAGAGTAAGGGGAGGGGTTGGGGCATTGGCAGGAAGCTGGGGACGAGAGGGTGGGGCAGAGGGGGAGCGGAAAGAGGAGTGAGGTCTTGGGGGTGGAATGGAGATGGAGGGTGCCTTTTGAGTCGACAAAGAAAAAGGGGGGGAGGCAAGCTGTCTGATAGGCGCTGAAGAAACATAGCAATGACAGCTTTGGATTTTTTTGTAGTCGTCTACTACACCCAAGCATGGGCATGGGCATGGGCATGGGCATGGGCATGGTTCACTTCAAACACATTCCTTACCTCCCTCCGTGAGTCATATCTCCCCTGTGAAAGCTGCTCTGTGGGGTGAAAATCACACTGGTACTCCCTCCCCCATGGTCCCTACCTACCTTCTTAACCATCCACTAAAAAGGCCCACTCAATTCAACCATATTGCACACAGCACACACCCACTCACCTCAAGGCTCAAGCACACTCCCATTGTACGTGTCACCTCACCTCGAACACACTCCGGCTGTACATGTCTCCTCTGTGGAGGCTACTGTCCGGCGTCACATTCAAGCTGTTACTCCCACTCCCACCCCCCACTCCCCCACTGCCGAAGCTCCCTCCGCTCCCCCCACTGTCAGCTCGGGACAAAACCCCCCGCCCGCTGCCCACGCTGCCCGCCGCCCCGGGCAGCTGGTGGTGCTGCGAGGCGAGGGAGTCGTCTGAGCCGGAGGAGCCTTTGCGGCGGCGCATGGCGTCGAGTCGCTGCATGGACGCGGACTTGTAGAGAATGGCTCGCAGCTCCGGGGACTCGAGAGGTGGGCGTCGGGCGTTGAGGGGCTGGTAGCGGGAGCAAGAGCGGGAGGGGGGTGATGAGGAGAGGGAGTCATCTGACCCTGGCCCCTTGGGCCTGGGCATATTCGCATTGCATCTTGGTGTCACGCCTGGGTGACACCCCTTGCGCCTGCAAATGGCGTCGAGACGCTGCATGGGCGTGCACTTGTGGAGAATGGCTCGCAGCTCGGGGGACTCGAGAGGCGGGCGACGGGAATGAAGGGGACGATGGGCAGAGGGGTTGTTGTGGGGCAAAGGGTGGGAAAAAAGGGGCAGAGAGGCAGAGAGAGTTTTGTGAGCGTGATCCCTTGCAGCGCCGCATGCTCTCAAGCCGGAGCACTCAGGTTGACTTATACAGGGTTGCACGCAGCTCAGGCGTCTCAGGACGCGGGCGGCGGGAATTCAGCAGCAGCTGATGAGGGGATGGGGGGGGAAGGTGGGGGGGTGTCGATGGGAAGGTACAGGTGAGGCGAGGGAGCCATGTGAGCCTGACCCCTTGCGGAGGCGCATGGACTTCAGGCAGAGCACGGAGGAGGACATGTGGAGTGGAGGGCTGTGTGATGTTCAGCTCCGGGTATTCAAGACGCTGGTGCCGGGCGGGCGGGCGGAATGAAGCTGCTGGTGGGAGGAAAGGGACGGGGAGGCAGGGACAGGGGACCAGGGGAGCCCGTGCGGCGGCACAAAAGGGACTTGAGGCGGAGCAGTCCGGCGGCCACGTGAGCGGCGAAGCAAGTGAAACAGCTCTGGCAATTATCGTCGCATGGTCCTCCGTCGTTCATCCTTCCTCTCCACTAAACTGCGGCATCCCCAGAATCCGTAATCGCTGCTGCGCGCACTGCCTCTGTCCCTGCCTCTCACCGCACCTGCTCCAGACCATCCGTGGGATCGCCGCTCATCCCTCTCTCCAGCCCTCTCTCCGCTCCGCTCCCCGTCACCGACTGCCCGCCCCACTGTCCTTCCCGCGCCTCCCCCTCGTCTCCTCGCCCCATCGCTCCTCCCGTCTCTCCGCCGCCGCCGCGCATGTCAACGGTGAACGCGAACGCCTCGTGCCGGCTGTACACCGCAACAGGCGCCGCAATTGGCGCTGCTACTGGCGCCGCGAATGGCGAGACGGACGCATTTCGATATTCTCTCTCCGTGTAGTCGGCACGGAAGGCCCAATTCGACGCTGACGTGGAATGCGGAGAACGCGCCAGCTGGACGGGCGATAGCGGCGTCTCTCCGGGCCCTGCCAACGCTGCTGATCCTACGGTCCCTGATGCTAGAACCGCGGGTGCGGCAGGCGATCCTACGGCAGCTGACGACGATCCTACGGTCCAGGAGGGCCCATTCCGACTACCACTCGTCGATGCCGTTCCTCGGATAAAGCCAGGAGCAATCAACGGCTGGTGTTCATCCTCGCGTGGTTCCATCTGGTCCACACCACAGGCGATCTGCTACAGACCAGTGAGACTGTTTCGAGCTCTAGATGAGACTGTTTCGAGCTCTATATGAGACTGTTACGAAGTCTAAGTGTATGGACTACCGCCAGAACGGGGTATTATTCTTAGCGACTGAATCTGACGGACAACTCGAGTCGCTAAATCTTTTAATGAAACGAGCTTCTGATTAGCCGCTGTGTTTCCTCCTCGGCCCTAGTTCGTCTTCTCGTCCATATTACCCGCTGTGCCTGACAGGTGGTAGGAATTTGTGCTCGTACCGTACTGTACCTTGGAGAATGCCCGACGCAAGGCACTGAGAATGAACCACACCTTCCAAACAGGATGGAAGTTGACAGCAGAATGGAAGGGGTGGGAGGGGAGCGTGAAATCAGACGGTTGGGTATGGTTTCGTGTGGTGCAGCATAGTTAATTCTGGTTCGTTTTTTCTACGTTGCGGTTCGTGAACCTCAGCAGCACGGAGGCCACCAGCACGGGATTTTCGAGGGAAACCCAGCTTCGGAAACTCCGTCCGTCCCCAAACCAGGAGATCCGCAAACCAACCAATCAGCAATTAGGGCCACGTTGGCTGGCGGGCATCGCCCAATTCCAAACTCCCGGGGGGGCCAGCGGGCCAGCGCACGCAGCACAACAACCAGCCTTCCTTGCTGTCCTCCTGTCCGCCGAAGCGGAAAAGCCCTTCCTGAGTTCCGTCCGCCCTCTCACCCCTCCCCTCAAAGCTTCCCTCCCCCTCCCCCTAGCTCCTTTCCACGACGCTTCTCGCCACCAGGGACTGCAGTGACGCGCTAGTTGGTGGGAGGTTAGTGACTGTAGTCTGTAACAATCGATGGTGCGGCGTATGCTTACGCTGTAAATTAAACCCAGAGCTTTGAGATTTGAGCAAACTGGCCTTGGAGCCCTACGACAACACAGCCAATAGTCCCTAACCTTTGGTACGGCGCAAAAAAGAAAACATGCCCTGTGGACAGCAGCACTCCAAGAGCCAGCCCACCTGCTACCACCTTTGGTAAAGGCATTAACTTTCTCTTCCTCCACTCCTTCCTCAACCAAGTCTCGGCTACAGTGAGCACCCCGTGCAAGGAGAAGAAGACCATTTGCTCGCCTGTCACTGCTCCCCCAATGTAGAACGCAATCAACTCGTGCATGATGCCAGAAACAACAAATGCGGCAATTGTTGCGCCCCCCCTGGCAAAGCTCAAACGGTGGCTGCTGCGAGAGACTTCAGCGGCGGCAGCATATAGTAAAGCACTTTCATTCTGCTTCGCTGTCTTGTGGAACCCCTCAGCTACCTCACAGGGGCCGTTACTTCTCTCCCAGGTCCTTCCAGCCCCATTCACGTAACCACCTGCTTCCTCCTTGAAGTTGCCCCTCTTATAGCAGCCGTTGGTCCTCTCACTGCAGCCATTCACCTTCTCACTGGAGCCGTTGATCTTCTCAACCGCTTCAAAGCCGTCAGAAACCGTGTAATCGTCACCTTCCCCAGCATAATGACGCCCATTCGTAGCTGGATAGCCATTCCTGCCCTCGAAATGACTGTCCTTCCCGTGTGACCTCTTCTTAACTGCTGGCTCCCCTCTTTCCGCCACAGCTCTCCCCCCAAGCCACTCCAAAGCAGGCTCATAGACCGTCTCTCGCAGGCTGCAGCTCACCACCAGATTCCACCGCCGCGCCCAGAACGACCCCAGCGACGTCGACAGGTACGGGCGACGGAAGTGCGGCTCTATTGCGAAGCGAGGGACGACGGCTGCGACGACGCCGGCGACGAGCTCGCAGACGAACGTGATGAAGAGGAACACGTTCACGCTGTGCAGCAGCGTCACGGCGGGCGGCGGGAGATCGCTGAGAGAGTACGCGCGGATGGTGAGGGAGAGGAAGAAGGCTTTGAACGAGCCTCGTAGCAGCAGCTGAGTCGAGGATTCGGAGGCTGGGTGCTGTCGGCGTTGTTGCTGTCGCTGCGTCTGCAGCTGATGGTTTTTCGTGTCATGATGACTGTGTTGAGCGGGTGTTTGCGAGGAAAAGGCGGGGGCTTTCGGCGATTCGCGAACGCGATTTTGCATGGGCATGTACAGTGCGACGAGGAATTGGAAGAAGCTGGCGGAATAGGCGGGGTTCGTCAGCGAGCCGCGGTTCCACGCGAGCGCGAGCAGGCGAAAATTCCCGAGCCACGTCACGGTCCAAAACACGAGGCCCTTTTCAATGCACTCGCCGCGTTTCGCGGCGGAAAAAACGCAGGGTAGAATGATGTTGAGGAGGATTATCGGGGAAAGCGCGAGGAAGCGAGGGAGGCCCTTGGGAAGGCGGCGGATGAGGAAGAAAACGAGCGAGGCGGTGGCGAGGTTGCACGACGCGACGGCGAGCCATCGCTGGGATTTGCTCAGGTGCTCGGCGGGAAGGAGATGGAATTCTTCGAAATCCATGGCGCCCGCGGCGGATTGCTCGGCAGAGTGAGGCTGGAACGAGTGGCTGTTCAGTCGCCGTCACTCGCCCACCCTCACCCACACTCTCGCTCCTCAATCACCACCAATGACGGGTGAGTGTAGGCCAAGGAGCCTCTCCAATAAACAGCAAGGTTCCTACATTTGCGGCTAGAATCAAGCCATATCAGCAGTCCGCCGATGTGCGGCTATCTGCAGTTTTGAGGACGGCAGGACGTATGCACTGTAATTGGTGGTGTACAACATGACCTTGAGGGTGGATATAAGAAATGTACATCTATTACATTGTAAACTGCAGTTCTACATACATTACGGTTCCCATCCTCTTTATAGTCATGCATTAGGGATTCTCCCCTGGTCTTCCACATGCTGGTACACTCTTCAAAAAATTGAACCAAGCTGATGCGCTGATGAACCAATCAGCGTACTTCCCGCCTGAACCAACATGGAAGCCGCTACCAGCAAATTCAAGGCGGCCTGCAAAATGGAAGCATAGGTTCTGACATCTGACTGGCCGCACCTGGAAGTGCCTCATAGGCGGCGGTCTGATTTGCGGAAAGGCGTCCAGTCGACTCGTGGGATGGCGACGGCGTTAGGCGATTGAGATGAGCGAAGTTGACGGGTGCGTTAGCCTACTATAGAGGCGGCGGAGTTACTGTAAGGAAACCATGGTTAGTGGCGCAGAACAGGTGCAATGCCCTCGTGCACGGTGACAATCCTGGTAGTTGGTGACTTACTCACACGGTGTGAATCACTCTGCACGCTGCTCGTCGATCGACACTTTAAATCGAGCAAGGTCGAGCGGTTCGCACCCGCCTCGTAGTTGACAAGCGTCGATCAGACTCTCCTCACCATCCGTTCGTGTCGTCTCGGTCGAGCCTCCATCGCTGCCTTCCCTGGCAGCAGCGTCCTTCACTCTCCCGCCATTGTCTACCGGTTCAACCGGAACCTACCATCGCACCATTGTCCCGTAGCTCCGTATAAGCATCCTCGCTACCCGCGACTTTGTCGAACCACCCTTTTCGGAATCCGTCAGGAAAAACAGTCGGTCTCGCAACGAGAGGCGTGACGGGTGCCGCTTGCTTTCGGCGAATCCAATTCGGCGCCTTGAAGTCGTGTTCGTCCGACCGTTCGAGTCGACTCTCAAAGGTCACTTCGACCAGCTGCGTTCATCAGCCTATCCGTGCCTGCCACCTGTCGCCTGACCCCTCCGAGTCGGCCAGCTTTCTTGTCTCGGAGAATCGTCACGGCAGCACGGCAAGAGCGAGGCAGGAGGACGAGCAGCAATGGTGGCGGCGCAAGCGACGGCGCAGCTGGATGGGGTGCGCAAGAGCGTTCCGGTGGTGGAGCAGCCAGCGCCACTAGTTCCGGCGACAGACGCAGTTCGGCTGGGAGAGTTGGTTCGGCTGGGCGAGTCGGTTCGGCCGGGCGAGTTGGTTCGGCCAGGCGAGTTGGCTCGGCCAGGCGGGTTGGCTCGGCCAGGCGAGGCTGGTCGCTTCCTCTCCGGAATGCGAGTTGTCGTGGGCGGCTCTTCTGCCGACCTTGCCGCTCAGGTCAGGTCTCCTCACACGGCAAAAGTCACAGGGTCAGGTCTCCTCACACGGCAAGGCTCGCTCGAGCCATCGTGGCTTTTCCGTTGAGACGGGGCCCTCGCTCACTGGAGCAAGCCATCGTGGGCGGCCCGTCCTCCACTTTACAACACTGCTGCACAGGTCGAATGGTGTCGATGTTAGGGTTCGCTCTCGGCTTGGTGATGTTTAAGTTGAGTCATGCGGAAAGTCCCCATGTCACCTCTCCCATCATGTCACCTCTCCCATCATGTCACCTCTCCCATCATGTCACCTCTCCCATCATGTCACCTCTCCCATCATGTCACCTCTCCCATCATGTCACCTCTCCCATCATGTCACCTCTCCCATCATGTCACCTCTCCCATCATGTCACCTCTCCCATCATGTCACCTCTCCCATCATGTCACCTCTCCTACAGTCAACCTGTGCCTGCCTTAGCCAGGGCTGCATAATCATTCCAGCTTGTTTTTAACAACCACATATCGACCCCTCATTGCTTACATTCTCCCCACCTGCCCTTACCTGAACGTCACAATTCCCGTTGCTCCTGCATGTCTGGCTTGGCTTTAAGAACAGCTGTTCCCGCTCTTTATTACGATTCAGCGCTTTTGAAATCGGCTAGTGAATGACCGACCAACCCCATGACGTGCATCACATGGGTTGCGCACATTGTGAGGCGAGCAGGCGGAGCCGTGTTCTCAGCTCCTGACCCCTCCATGGTTGCACTGCCCTCGCATGTGCTGCTTATCATCCGCCCCACCTCACAGCTCGCGCAGGGTGCCAGGCGAGCACGAGGAGCTGTGCTCCCCCATCACATGGGTTGCTCCCCGCTTATGACCCCTCCATGGTTGCACTGTCCTCGCATGTGCTGCTTATCATCCGCCCCACCTCACAGCTCGCGCAGGGTGCCAGGCGAGCACGAGGAGCTGTGCTCCCCCATCACATGGGTTGCTCCCTGCTTATGACCCCTCCTTGGTTGCAGTGCCCTCGCATGTGCTGCTGTATCACCTGCCTGCCCCACCTCCCCTCACAGCCTGCAAAGGGCGTGAGGCGAGCAGGCGGAACGGTGCTGCGCGTGTATGACCCCTCCTCACCGCACCGTGGTTACGTCGTTCTCGCAGCTCTGCCCTTCCCATCTGCGTGCCCACAGGCTGCAAAGGACGTGAGGCGAGCTGGAGGAACGGTGCTCCCCGCTTATGACCCAACCTGCTCCCTGGTGGTCGTGCATGGGCTCACCATGGTAACGCTTATTGCATTGAGGTTGAATGAGGTTGAATTGAGTTGGCCACTTGGAGGTCGTCATTGCGCCATGGCTACGTCTGTGCAAGACGCTTATGATTCCACCTGCTCCGTCGTGGTCGTGGATGGGCTCACTCACCGTGGTAACGCTAATAAAATTGAGAGAGCAGTGCTCAGGGATAGTTGTTGCCTAGCATCTATGTCCTTGCGAGGCGTGCTTATGACCGAAGTTGTGGATGGGATGGGCTCACAATGGCAACACAGGAGGCTCTTTGCCCTTATGAGGCTCTTTGCCCTTGTGAGGCTCTTTGCCCTGTCCAGAGCGATGGGAAGGCGATGGTACCACGTCCCTGCCACCCAGCTAGACATGAGCAAAACCGGGTAATTACCCAACCCGACCTGGTTTTGCCCTACCCACGATCAGGTCCGGGTCGGGTCGGGTCGGGTAATTTCCGGGTAATGTTTGGAGGTCTGTTATCCGACCCGGCATTTTAATACCGGGTAATTGGGTACCCGTCTGGCGGGTCGGCGACCCGCAATTAATTGAAGTCGGGTAATATTACCCGGGTACCCCTAGGTGGCTGTAAAATTCAGCAAACCCGAAGTCGGGTCAGGTACCCGCGACCCGAGGGGTAATAAATTACCCGACATGTCGGGCAATTCTCGGGTAACGGGTATGCATTACCCGGCCCGGGTACCCGACCCGACCCGGCCGGGTAATTTGTCAAAATCCTATTACCCGACCCGACCCGGCCGGGTAATTTGTCAAAATCCTATTACCCGACCCGGCCAAAATGTCGGTTCGGGTCGGGTACCCGCGACCCGACCGGGTAAAATACTCAAGTCTACACCCGGCTGCCCGCATGTCCATGCCATCTTTCCCGTCCCTCACTCTATCCTTTCACCCGAGGAGGGCGCCCTGTGCGTGAGGGCGGAGGGCGCCTGCAAGGTGGTGGCCATCTGGATGGCCCATATTGTGCATGCATGATGAACCATGACTGATTACTCATCCTCACTGCATCCTTACTGCATCCTCACCCATCCCTCACTCTATCTTTTCACTCCAGGAGGACGCTCTGTGCATGCAGGCAGAGAGCGACGGCAAGGTGATGGTCACTGCCACGTGGCTTTCGCACTGCCTCAACCACTCCCGCATCCTGCCCCTCTCCTCGGTGCGCCACTCTCCTTGGTACGCCACACTTGTTATGCTTCAATTACAGCGATGTTGTAGCCGTCCTACCTCTTTCCTCAGCACGTTACAGCCATCCTCCACCAGCCGGCTGCTACAGCCGCCTTGCTACAGCCGTCCTGTCTGTATATCCCAGATGTCCTCTTTGGTCTCTCGCTGGCTTCCTGAAAACGTCACAGCCTTTTCCGCCTGTATCTTGAAACATCCATCACAAAACCTGCTCCTGCCACAAAACCCGCGCCTGCCAAATTAGGTTCTATGAGACCCACAAAAGATAATTGCTTCGCCCATTTGTCACAAACCCCAAGCCTGCCGCATCAGGTTCTCCATCCCCCCCCCTTCCCCAAGGTGATTTCTGAGTCGACTCAAAGGCAGCACGTTACAATGTCCTGTGCCTGCCACATCGGGTTCTCCATCTTCCCCTCCGCTACAGAGGCGTCATTCCATCAGCCTAGGGGCGTCATTCCATCAGCCTAGGGGCGTCATTCCATCAGCCTAGGGGCGTCATTCCATCAGCCTAGGGGCGTCATTCCATCAGCCTAGGGGCGTCATTCCATCAGCCTAGGGGCGTCATTCCATCAGCCTAGCGGCTCGTGCTGCACTCTTGACGCGCCTCAGCCACTTGCTGCTTCCTCCTTTCCTCCCTCCATCTTTATCCCACATACCCATCCATCCCGACACACACGGCCCCTCACATGCCCGCCTCACACGCCCCCCTCACACGCCCCCCTCACATGCCCCCTTCACATGCCCCCCTCACACGCGCCCCTCACATTCTCCCCTCACATGCCCCCCTCACACCAGGTTCTCCATCGCCCCCTCCGCTTCAGGGGTGGCATTCCAGGCGCACAGCAGCTGGTGCTGTGCCTCACGGGCTACAGTGGCAGCATGCGGCGAGAGGTGGAGGTGAGACTGTGCACTGCACTCTAGTGAGTGCTGCTTATAACGAGTACATGACCCAGCCTTTGAATCCCGTGGTTGAGGCAACAGCCTCTGAATCTAGGGAGTGGATCTGGGCTGGGCGTGAAGTATCCGAGCAGTGCAATGGGCCCCAATCATGTTCTGCGGTGCCGTTGGGTGCAGTTGGGGGCCTTTGACCCGCCCCCTCTTCTCCCCTGCACCCAGCCTGTCATCTCTTCTCCCCTGCACCCAGCCTGTCATCTCTTCTCCCCTGCACCCAGCCTGTCATCTCTTCTCCCCTGCACCCAGCCTGTCATCTCTTCTCCCCTGCACCCAGCCTGTCATCTCTTCTCCCCTGCACCCAGCCTGTCATCTCTTCTCCTCCCTTCTTCTGCATCGCCCCTTCTCCTCTCACCCCCCCAGGTGCTGCCTCGGCTCATGGGCTCATGGGCTCATGGGCTCATGGGCTCATGGGCTCATGAGCTCATGGGCTCATGGGCTCATGGGCTCATGGGCTCATGGGCTCATGGGCGCGCGCTTCTCTCCCACTGTGCTCCTTGGAATCCCCACACCGCCCCTTCCTCTCTCACCCCGCATCTTCTGTACTCCCCACATCCCCCTCCACTCTCGCCCCCCCAGGTGCTGCCTCGGCTCACGGGCGCGCGCTTCTCCCAGCCCATCAGCTTCTCTCATGGGCGCATGCCCTGTACTCCCCGCATTCCCCCCTTCCTCTCTCACCCCGCCACTGCCAGGTGCTGGCTCGGCTCATGGGGGCGCGCTTCTCCCGGAATCTCAAGGTTGGGGAATGCACACACCTCGTGTGCTATGAGCTCAAAGGTAAGTGGGTTTGAAGATGTGGGAATATGAGTACGTGTGATTATGAAGACGTGCAATTTTGAATACATGTGAGTACGAATTAATGTGACTGCCACTGATTTTTGGTACCTACCTGCACTCACCTCGTGTGCTACAAGCTCCAAGGTAAGCCAAGAGAAAGTTCGGTCTGGCCACTCGACTCCTCGGACATGTATCCAGCGAGCTGAAACCTCCCTTGAATGCAAGAGCTGAAACCTCCCTTGAATCCCCGAACCCTCCCTTGCACTGCTGCTCTCTCGCTGGGTACAGTGAGGTTCGCACGGCACCTGGTGGTTGGCACATGATCTCACTTCGTCTGCTCACTACTCCTCTCCCCGCCATACATCTGCCCACCACTCCTCTCCCCAAACCACTCCTCTCCCCACCATACGTCTTTCCACCACTCCTCTTTCCTCTTCCTCTTTCCTCTTTCGTCTGTGTGCAGGCAGCAAGTACGAGATGGCGAAGATGCGCAGCATCACCATCCAACCCCCCCTCAACCTTTACCCCCCACCACCCTCTCCCCACCATCACCATCCAACCCCCCCCAACCATCCCCCCCCACCACTCCTCTCCCCACCATGGTGTGCTCCCAGGCAGCAAGTACGACATGGCAAGGGCCCGCAACATCACCACCGTGAACCACATGTGGCTGGAGGACTGGTGAGGGGGCAGCATGGGCTTATAGGGTTTGGGGCTTCATGGGTGTTGGGGTGTGGGGTGTGGTGTGTACCACATGCGCCTGGAGCACTGGTGAAGGGGGCTTGAAGGGTTTGGGCAGTGCAAGGGGGTTCGGGGTTTAGGACGAGGGGAATAAGGGACTCGGGCAGTGGGGGGTTAGGGGTTTATGACGACTGGCGTAAGGGGCTTGGGGCTTGAAGCGGGTGAACCACATGTGGCTGGAGGACAGGTGAGGAGGGGTTGTAGGGAGGTTAGGCAGTGAGAGAAGTCAGGCGGTGAGAGAGGTTGGGTGTTTAGGCAGTAAACTGTAAAATGGGTGAAGGGACCTTGGGAAATGAGAGGGTTCCATGGTCTATTGTCACGGGCAGAGGGGGCTAAGCATAATGCTCGTGATCCACAGGATTGGAAAAGTGGGGCAGCGACTCTAGGGATGTGAAAAGTGTCGCGGGTTCTAGGGGTTTGTGTGGGGTTCAACGAGTTGGGAATTGGTGAATTGGATGGAGGGCGCATTCAGCAGGGCGTGTCATCGTGACTGATGCGGCATGCTCTGCTGAGCAACTCCCGTCGCCCAAGCGTGGAACTGCGATGCACCTTACTTCTGGCAACTGGGTCCAGCTTCCCAGTTTTTTCTTTCACCTATAGATGTTGGCGTTTGTGTCTCAAGTCATGAGCTTTTACACCTTCTGTTCTTCTCCTTTGAGCCCCTATGCTCTGTAGCATTTGAATGGGTTCTTCCGTTCCTCCTCCCGCCTGGCGCTGTGCGATTCCCATGTGCATTCTCCTTCTCATTGCAGCGTGCAACAGTGGAGGCTGGTGCCCGAGGAGCGATACTCTATCAGGTGAGGCTGCATGAACGTCATGGTGGGCGATTCTGAATGAGATGCGATGCTCTATCAGGTGAATCGCCTCAGCAGCAGAGTGGAGGCTGGGAGGCTGGCCGCTGGTCCCAGAGCACCGATGCTCGATCAGGTGAGAGCGGCGCACTCACTTACTGGTGAGATGGCGCCGGTGTCAAGCCAAGCCAGGTGAATCGCCTCAGCACTGTTTCTGCTGAGGAAATTGAAGGCTGGTGGTAGAGGCGTGATATACTACAACCAGGCACCTCCTGGTGGGGAATTTCAACGAATTGCAATGCGTGCTGGGTGAAATGCCTCGGCGTTGTTCCTGCTCAGGAGAGTGAAGGCTGGTGCTAGAGGGTCGATGCTCAACCAGGCGATAGGCACTTGGCGTTGGGCAATTGCCATGCAAGGGTTTGGGCCCATAGGGACCAAACACAGCTTGCGAGCAAATATTGAGTAGGCGCAGGCTGGTGCCAGAGGCGCGAGACTGAAGCAGCAGCCTGCTGGTTCCCTGCTGGTTCCCTGCATCCCTGTGGGGTCTCAAGCTTTGTGTTTCCGCAGCAGCCATGCCATCCTGTGACCTACTCCCGCCCACCCCTTCACATGTTGCCATGGATGCATTCCTCTGTCCATCTGTTTTCCACTCTCCCATTCTCACTCCTTTCCTCCTCTTCCCACTCCCTCCCATGCTCTTTGTCCCTGCATCCAGCAGCGAGCTGGCAGAGCTGCAGCGGCTGCAGGAGGCGACAGCAGTCCTGGCATTCAGTGACCCCTTATAACTCACTCCGTCCGACTCCTCCCCACTCCTTTCCATCCTTCTGGTGCATGCAGCGGCGAGCAGGCGGAGCTGCAGCGCCTGCAGGAGGCCACGGCAGCGGCGGCAGCAGCGTTGGAGGCTCAGGTGCGAGCTGCAACCAGCCAGGCCTCTGCTTGCACGCCTGGGAGAAGTGAGGGTGGTGGGGGTGGTGGGAGAGGTGGGAGAGGTGGGAGAGGTGGGAGATGTGGTGGTGCTGCTGCAGAGCCTGGCGCTTTGGGAGGGGCAGGGGATGGTGATGCAGGGCCAAACGGGGAGGGCGTCGGCAACACAACAGCAGAGGCTGGGGGGAAAGCAGCGACAGCGGCAGCAGTTGACGCTCAGCTGCGCGCTGCTGCCACCCAGGCCTCTGCTTGCACCCCGGGTGCGACTGGTGCTGCTGCCGCTGCTGCAGAGGCGTGCGCTGCGGGTGCTGCTGCTGCTGCTGAGGCGGGTGTGGCTTGTGCTGCTGCCGCTGGTGCTGCTGTTGCAAGTGCTTTTGTAGCAGGTGTCAGGAAGGGAAGGGTATCGGAGGGTGCAGCAGGGGGTGCAGAGGCCTGCAGTGCGGGCGATGCAGCAGGTGACGCCGAGCGGAAGACAACAGCTCTTGCCACCCAAGCAGCGGGTAGGGCAACAGGAGGTGGAGCGTGCCGTGCGGCGGGGCCGCTAGAGGGTGGTGAAAGAACGACGGTTGCACAAGAGGGAGGGGGGGCAGTTGCAGGGGAGAGTGGTGGTGTGCGCGCGGGGAACGGCGAGGTACAAGGCAGTGCGCTGAGAGGTGGGGGCAGGTGGAGTGCTGGTGCAGCAGATGCAGCCCACGGGACACAGACGGCAAAAGAGAGAGGTGGGCCTGGTATTGAGGCACGTCAAGTAAAAAGAGGTGCTGTGGATGAGGTATGTGAGGAGGGTCGTGGAAAGGCGGGTGAGCGGATGGAAAGAGTAAACGCAGAGGATGAGATCAGGGTGAAGAAAGGGGAGGAGGGGCGGAATGGGGAGGAGGGGGAGGGTAAGAAGGAAAATGAGGGAGTGGAGGAGGAAGAGGAGAAGGAGGGGGAGGAGGAAGAGGGGGAGGAAACGGAGGAGGAAGGGGAAGAGAAGGGAGGAGAGGAGGACGGAGAGGAGGACGGAGAGGAGGAGGATGCAGACGAAGTGCCTTGCGGGCAAGAGGTGGAGGGCGCGGATTGGGACACTGAGGAGGAGGGAGGTGAGGAGGGATGTGAGGAGGGGGGTGAGGAGGAGGGGATGAGAGGGGTGGGTATGTGGCGCCAACTAGCTGAGGCTCAGGATAGGGATGGAGGCAGGGACTGTGAGGGCGGGGAAGGCAGGGTGCGGCCTCCTGGCACGGAGGGCAGGGGTTGCGAGGAAGCGGAGCAGTCTCGGGGCCCAGAAGGTGGGGGTGAGGGGAGCGGTAGGGGTGGGGAGGAAAGTAGAGCGAGACCTGGTATGGAGGGCAGGGTTTGCGAGGAAGCGGAGCAGTCTCCGGGCCCAGATGGCGTGGTTGTGAACCTGAGAGGCATCTTTGACACCGTGGCAGATGCTGTAATACCTGGCGCGGCAGTTTCTGTAGCAGCACCCACACCGGGGCGTATAGCTGAGCCTGTAACTGGTGCTCATACAGGCCCTGCAGGCAGCACTGCAGTAGCAGGCAAGCTCACAGCCAGTGAGGCCAGCGGGGTGGGCAGGGGAGCAGAGAGCGCATTGGAGTCGACGCATAAGGGGGGCGGGCCAGCAGGGAGCACCGCAGTCAGACGTACAGGGGTTCATCGCATGGGCCCAGGTCTGGTTGTAGCAGAGCAGGCTGTAGCAGAGCGGGCGACAGCTGGAGTCACTGGTGCTGCTGGTGCTGTAACAGGGGGAGCAGGTGTGTACCCAAGCTGTAGCCCACTGGCAGGAGGGAGAGGGCGGAATGGTGAAGAGAGAGGAAAGGGGAGCAGGGGAGGGGAGGTCAGTCCGCTTCAGCCAAGCGGCCAGGGAAGTGTGGCTGGTGGTGTGGGTGATGCGGCAGAGGCAGGTGATGTGGCAGGTGATGCGGCAGAGGCTGATGATGAGGCTGATGATGAGGCTAATGATGTGGCTGATGATGTGGGTGATGATGAGGCTGATGATGTGGCTGATGATGTGGGTCATGATGAGGCTGATGATGTGGCTGATGATGTGGGTGATGATGAGGCTGATGATGTGGGTGATGTGAGTCCGGATATTGGTGGTGGGAGGCGCCGAAGGACTGGGGAACGTCCACAGGACGAGCAGCAGCCGCAGCAGCACCACCACCACCATCAGCAAAAGGTGGAAGTAGGTGGTAGGAGCGCCGCAGTCCTGTCACCCGCACGGCCACAGGTACAGTCGCAGTCCTATCCTCCGGGCAGTGTGCATCGAGGCATCGGCATGGCAGTGGACATGGGGGGATTGAGCTGCAGCTCGGGGGGTGCTGGTGGTGGGAAGCAGGGAGGAAACGCGATTAGCAGGAGGGGTGGAGGGAGGAGCACTGGGAGCAAGCCCGGGAGTATCACAAGGGAGAAGAGCCATCGCAACCCCGGGCAGAGAGACGGGTGGCAGGTGGATGGTGGTGGGGAGGGAGGGAGTATGGTTGGTGGCAGCAAGGGTACGCTGGCTGAGAGAAGAAAGGCGGCTGAGGATGGTGGTGGGGGTGGTAGTAATGAGGATGCTTGTAAGGAGGACGACTGTGATGGTGACCATGAGGATGATAATAAAGAGGATGGTCCTGATTGTGATGATGGGAATGGCACATGTGGTGAGGGTGGAAGTGAGGAGGAAGCAGATGGAATCAAGCATGGGGCACACACTGGCAAGGATAAGGCCAACGCTGGGGAAGGAAACGAGGATGATTGTAACGAGGATGGAGATGAGGCTCTTGTATCCTCGCTTCCTGATTGGCTGCAAGGTGATGTGGTGATTGGACAGGTGGCACCCTCCCCATTGGTCAAAACCTTCCACAGGAGAAAACTGGCCAATCGTGTGGGAGAGGCGAAGAGTGGGACAAAGGGAGAGGGGGGGGGAGAGAGGGTAGTGGAGATGGGGAAGGGGGGAGAGGAGAAGGGAAGGAAGAGAAGGAAAGAAGGTAAGTTGGACGGCACAGCAGACAGGGAGCCTCTGGGAAGAATCTCCACCTGTGCTGACGACGAAGGGGGGGAGATGAGAGGGGCAGGTGGGAAGATGGGAGGGAAAGCAGGGAAGGAGAACGCAGAGGAGGAATGGCCGGCTGGAAAGGGGCTGGTGAGAGGTGTGAGCAGTGCAGATGGGGGGAAAGGAGGTCGGGTAGGTGGGAAGGGAGGAAGTGGGGGGAGGGGCAGAGGCACACAAGTAAGGGGTCTGGATGTAGAGGGAGGGAGAGAGGGAGGGAGAGAGGGAGGGAGGGAGAAGGGTGCAGGGAAGAGGGGACGAAGGGAGGAGGAGGGGGTGAGGGAGCGGAAAGGGGCTATGCGGAGACAGGGGAGGAAGAGGAGACATGAAGAGATGCTGGAAGTCGAGGAGAAGGGGGAGGGGGAGGAGGAGGGGGGGGAGGAGGACGAGGAGGAGGAGGAGGAGGAGGAGGAGGAGGAGGAGGAGGAGGAGGAGGAGGAGGAGGAGGAGGAGGAGGAGGAGGAGGAGGAGGAGGAGGAGGAGGAGGAGGAGGAGGAGGAGGAGGAGGAGGAAGCCGAGGAGGAGGGGGAGATTCGGGTTGCTGAGCTGGAGGATGGGACGAGAGGTGAGGGAGAGAAGGGGGGGGAGTTGGAGGGTGACGCTGCAGGTGGTGGGGATGAAGCGGATGGCGCTTGGGAGGTGGTGGAAGAGGGGGAGGAAAGGACATGGGCACAAAGGAATGTGGGTGGTGGTGGGGGGGGGAGAGAGAGGGGATTGGTGGAAGGGAAGTGGTCGTGTGGTGGAGGGGCTAGAGAGAGGGAGATCCGTACAAAGCACAAAGAAGACCCCTTGAGTGAAGGGAGGCGGTGGGGAGAGGAACCGGCGCCGCTAGGGATGGCTGGTAAAGTGGGAGACGGAGCAAGAGAGGGTTGGGCAAAGCAGCAGCAGAAAGAGGCGGTGAACGCAGAGGGGAGGGAGGGAGAGGGAGAGGGCGAGGGAGAGGAGGTGAAGGGGAAGGGTAGGGGCGGTAAAGGCAAGGCTGATGCTGCATCAAAACGGAGGAACGGGGATGCTGCTGTGGCTGGAGGGGAGAAGGTGGGCAAGCGGAAGAAGACAGGCGGTGAGAACAAGGAGGGCGGTGAGACTGGGGAGGGGGGCGTGAAGGGGGGAGCTGTGGGGGTGGACTGCGGCGAGAGGAGCAGGAGAAAGACAGCAGCTGGCAGAAATGAGGTGGAGACGCGGAGAAAAATGGGTATCCAAGGAGACAGCGATGATGAGGTTGTTGCAGTGGAGGAGGGGGAGGACGAGATGGAGGACGAGGAGGGCGAAGGGTCACACAGATATGCGGCTGCTGCTGCTGCTGCTGCTGCTGCTGCTGCTGCTGCTGAGGCTGCTGAGGCTGGGAATGGTAGGAAGAGGGGGCGGAAGCGTACTGTTGTGGAGGACAGTAGAGATGTGAAGGGTAGAGGAACGAAGCAGGCGAGAGGGAGATCAAATGGGGGTGAGGAGGGCATGACAGACGAGAAAGGTGCTGGCAAGAGCAAGGGTGCAGTGGAGGGGAGTGGAGAGGCGAAGGGCAAGGGAAAGAAGAGGACGAGAGGGCGATCGGCCGGGGACAAGGAGGACACAGCAGAGAAGGAAGGTGCAGGCAAGACTGGTGGTGTTCCACCTCTATACCCTGCAAGCAAAGCTGCTGCGTCCACTGCCAAACGCGCTACTAGTGCCAAGGCAGGTGTAGCTTCCCTGACGCCTATAACACGGTTTTTCCAGCCAATCGGCAGCTCCGGATCCAGCCACAGTGGCAGGAGCACCGGTGCTGCCCCTGGCAGTGGCGTTGGCAGTGGTAACGAGGAAGCAGGGCAAGTGGCAGCTGGGGGAGGAGATGGGGAGCGGGGGGCAAAAGGCAAGGACGGGGGGCGAGAGTCAGAGCAAAGTGTAAGGGATGAGAGGAAGAGGGAAGGGCAGCAGGGAGGGGCAGCAGCGAGCGAGATGAGCATGTGGGGTGGCGGGGAGAGGTGGTTCCTTTTAGGGGGGTCGTCCCGCAGTGAGGGGCAGCTGAGGGCCACCGTGAAGAGGCTGGGAGGGCATGTGTGCGGGGAGGGGGTCGGTGCTGGTGCTGGCGGTAATGCTGGCAAGGGAGGCAGAGGAAAACGAGGAGGGGAACAGGGAGGGCGTGGAGAGAGAGGGGGGGGGGAAGGGGCAGGGGGTGGAGCAGCGGAGCTGCAGTGGCATGCGAAGGCCACGCATGTGGTGCTGCCAGCGCCGCTCAAACGCACAGAGAAACTCATTGCAGCCATGGCAGCTGGACGGTGGGTTCGTCTGCACTTCAACACACTTGGGTACCCCCAATGCACCCCTCCTCACCCCAATGCACCCCTCCTCACCCCAATGCACCACTGCCCCAATGGCAAGGCGACGCGTGTGATCCTGCCTGCACCTCTCAAGCGCACAGAGAAGCTCATTGCAGCCATGGCTGCTGGAGGATGGGCTCATTTGCACCCCAATGCGCCCCTACTCTTCCCCAATGCGCCCCTTCTCTTCCCCAATGCGCCCCTTCTCTTCCCCAATGCACCCCTTCTCTTCCCCAATGCGCCCCTTCTCTTCCCCAATGCACCCCTTCTCTTCCCCAATGCACCCCTTCTCACCCTATTGAATTCCTGCTCGCCGTAATGCACCCCTGCGCTGCTGGCAAGGTACAGTGGAGGCTGCAGCACCCAGAAGCTGGCAAGTGCGCCCCTGCCTGCTCACCCACTGGCACCCACTTGCACCCTCTTGCACCACTTCTTTACTGCCGTCCCCCTTCGTCTCCTCCTGTTTCTTCCTCCCTTGCCCATCCCAGGGGGGTGCTCACCCCGGACTACCTCACAGCGAGTGCCTTAGCGGGCCTATTCTTACCCTTCACCGAAGGCCCTCTGTCGTGGCCCGTCCTCTGTAACTATCTTCCCCACCCCCCTCTAACCCCAGGTGGGTGCTGACCCCGGACTACCTGACAGCGAGTGCGTCAGCGGGCCATTTCCTCCCGGAGGACGCCTACGAGTGGCGGGGCGACGGCAGCAACAGGGACGGCACCGTCGAGCTCGCAGCCCCCGGCACGTGGCGCCTGCGGTGCAGGATGAACGGCGGGAGAGGGGCGTTCTTTGGTGCTCGGGTGCTGCTGGTGCCGCCACCAGATAGCCTGTCATCTATGGTACGTGAGGTTACAGATTAGGAGGGATGAGGGGGGAAGGGCGTTTCATGGGGGCTCAAAGTGCCACTGGTGCCACCTCTCCTCCCCCCATACCTGTCATGCTCGGGAGGTGCTGCCTCGCATCCTCACAGTCAAAGCCCCATTTTCCTTTTTGCTCGGGAGTCTTTCCGCAGCAAACTACTCGGCATTTCGTTTTGAGACGTTTCGAAGCTCAAGACTCGCCCCCACTCTTCATTCACCCTTCCCTCTCTGGGGAGAGAGCTCTGCTGTGTCCGCAGCCTCCCAGCGAGAGGGGCAGCCGTGACTCGGCCATTGAGACGCGTTTTGAGATCGTCAGAACCCCTCCCTTCTTCAACCACACACATGCATGTGTAGGACGCTCTTCATCCGCACCCTCCCAACAGGAGGGGCAGCGATGACTCGAGTGGCACACGTGCTCTTTCCCCCTCCTCTTTCCCCCTCCTCTTTCCCCCTCCTCTTTCCCCCTCCTCTTTCCCCCTCCTCTTTCCCCCTCCTCTTTCCCCTCGCCCCATGCACATAATCAACTGCAGGACGTGCTGCATCGCATCCTCACGGCTGGGGGGGCAGCGGTGACTCAAACGGCGGAGCCCTCTGTGGCTGCAGCGCTGGCGCCCCAGTTTGACTTCGTGGTCTTAAAGCCAGGTGTGCTGGTATGCTTGGTTGCACCGCATGTGCTGCGGTTGTTTGTTTGACCAGCCCTCTGTGGCTGCTGCTCTGGCGCCTCAATTTGACTTGGTAGTGCTCAAGCAAGGTAGGTGTAGTGTAGGTGGGGCTGTCATGGGCGTGATGGGCGTGATGGGTTGTGCTTTTTCCCTGTCAATTCCCCCTTCCTCCATGCAAGCCTGTTTTTGAGTCCGTGAAGGCTTTTGAGGCGCGTCATACACACCATGGGCCCCTATCCTGCATCATACTCTCGCCAGTCCCAGCCCGTCCTGGTCTCTCCGGACTTCTTCGCCCGCCCCTCCTCCATGCAAGCCTGCTGACAAGTCTTCTGAGGCTTTTTACACGCTTTAAAACTACCACACCTCCCACCTCTCCCAGGTCTTGTATGCCTCTGACGTCTGCCTTCCTCCCTTCCCCACGCATGATCCCCGTCACAGAAACAACTGAGAGAGACCCCATGGCACGGCGCCTGCTCGCCCCCTCGCGCCAGTCCCAGCCCGCCCTGGTCTCTCCCGACTTCTTCATCGCCCTCATCGCCCTCCCCTCCTCCATGCAAGCCTCCCCCATGCCCCATGTGCTCTTCGCCTCCGAGCCAGCTGTCCTTGCCTCATTGGCCGACCTGCGCAGGAGGCAGAAGGGCTTGAGGGAGCCAGCCCAGCAGCAGCAGCAGGAGGAGGGGGAAGGGGGGGAGGAGGAGGAGGAGGAGGAGGAGGAGGCTGCTGAGGGGGAAGGTGGGGTTGTTGAGAACGGCAGAAAGGCCATGCATTTGAAGAATTTGCCGCAGACATATGACGCTGGTCGCAGTAATGGCAAAAGTGCTGCTGATGCTGATGGTGACACTGACACTGATCAAGATGGCAACGGAGACAGCATTGCCTGGGAGGCCATGGCTCATGTGCGTCTGGGTGAGAGCCTTGGCCTCTCCGGCTTCTCAGAGGAATCACAGGACGTTGGTGGCGCGGCTGCTGCTGCTGCTGGTGCTCCTGGTGGTTATGGGTTGCAGAACGGCAAAGCAACGGCTGGTGGTGAAAGCGATAAGGAGTTGATAAGGAGTCAAAAAGGTGGGACAGAGAGGTGCACCAAGGAGCAGGGAAGGAGAGGGAGGACGGAAAAGGCACGAGATGTGAGGCCTGCAAAGAAAGGGAAACGGTCAGATCCCTGATGCTGTGAAACAATGCTGAGGCTGAACTGTTTGGTTTGTGTACAGGTCTGGTCTGGTTACTACTGGCCAATGTTCATGTCTTGCTTGCTTCAACATAATCAAACGAGATCTAATGCAATCCACGTGCAAGGGAGCATGTCGTTTTGGTCCAAGGCCCAGACAGTTATAAGCATGGCAAAATCAAACCTTACCCAAACCATTTGTTCCAAACCATCTGCAGTCTTTGCATCGATTGACTGGTCGTTCAGATGTGGATTCCACATGGGAGCGGTGCAGACAATCCACATGTAGTCCATGAAGCAGGCATAGCTAACTTTATTCAATGGTTTCGAATGTGAAAGGGGAGGTACCCTATTTAATGCGCGAGGAGTGTGATTTTCTGTTGTGGCAGTCGTCGTGATCGGCTAAAGGCCCTTCCCTGTTTAAGGGCTTTTCCAACAGAAGCACATGTACCGGTAGTGATGTTATCGGAGTGCCATCTTCACAACAACCGCACTTGTGCCCATATCTTTGTAAGGTACACGTTTGAAGTGGGGGGCTAATATGAAGACCCCAATTTCAAGTTAGGCTTAAAGCCCGACCGGCATGTTGCATATTGCACTGTTGAGGTCGTTGGGTCCAGGGCTCTCACTAGCCGGGTAAAACACCCTGATTGCACTGATTTTTCCGGGTATTTTCCTTGTTAGTCTTAAAAATCAGACTTCCATGTTTTTTAACACTGATCCAAAAAGTGTAGCAAAAGTTTTACCCTGGCGAAAACAGGGTTGCGAGATCCCGCACCCTGAACCGCCAGGATGTCCTGGAAAAGACTCTGATGCAAAGCTCAGGAATTTCGGTGAAGTCCTTCAGTGAATAGGGGCATTCCTCCTCACGCAAACCCCACAAACATGAAATTTAGGTGAAGTTCTCCAAAACCAGAGACATTCCTCGTCACACACACCCCACAAACCTGAAATTTCGGCTAAGTCCTCCAGAACCCCAGACATTCCTCGTCACACACACCCCACAAACAGGGCCTCAGATTTCAGGCTAAAAAGGCCTGAAAAGCTGTATATCAGGGTGATTTTTATGGCATAGCCTGATTTTCCCGCATTCGATTTTGGCCAAACCTGAAATTCTTGTGTTCCCAGTTTCGTAAGCCTAAAAAAGCGTGTGTTCTTGTTTAGCCAGGCCTGACCAATCAGCCTCTACCGAATTTTATCCTGAAACAGAAGAACCCTATCTAATCTGGCCACGACCCCCCGAGCAGTTTCGCCAGTGGTCTGAGCGAACTTGGAGCAGGTGTGAGGCTGTGATTGGTCCTTAGGCCCAAATAACGCAAAATTCGGAGGTAATCGGGAGCAGTTGTGAGGGGCGTGACCGGTCCTTGGACAAAATATCATTCTGGTTGTCGGAGGTTAGCTGGAGCAGGTGTGAGGGACGTGATTTGTCCTTGAAAATTTTCGCGGAAGCTGCTAGTAGGTGGGGTAACGGCAGTTCCTTGAAAACACTGATTTCCCCTCAATCGCGCGACGAATTGCTACAGCACGTTTCAAAACCCAACCCTGACATTCGAAAATTCAGCCTGAAATTTCAGGCCGAAAAAATGAAAACTACCCTGACAAAAATGGGTTCTCAGAAGGGTAGGCCTGAGCAATCAATCTCCCTAAAACGAATCTGAGACCCTGCCCACAAACCTGAAATTTCGGCTAAGTCCTCCAGAACCCCAGACATTCCTCGTCACACACACCCCACAATTTCCCCAACACAACAACCAGACACATGGCCCACCACAGTGTGGTGACCACACCCAATCACGAGCATGTAAAATTTTCCCCGCCCTGTTCCCGCCCCTGCAAATTCGATGTCCCTCCCCCACCCAATCACATGCTGCTGATTTTCTTCCCGCTCTGCTTCCGCCCCTGCAAATTCGATTCCCCCATACCCATCCCGCTCTCCTCCCCCCCAACCCCCCCCTCACCTTCCCCAACCCGCGCACGCGCAAATTCGCTGCACGTTTGTTTCACGTTTCACCTCCATTTCGCGTGCCCTTCTTTCGTGAAGCACCGCATTGTACCGCATTCCACTTGGAACTCAAAATTGAACTTGCTAAGAATGCCAAGAGTTAGACAGGGTGGCAAAAAATCTACACTTTCAGCTAAGAGTTTAATTTTGTTTACCCTGCCAAATCAGACTTCGGAAATTTTTTACTCTAGACGTCAGGGTGAAACTTTTTTTGTACTCTGATTCCTAAGAGTGGCCTAAAACCAATTTTGGGCTGAATTTGATTGGCTGACGAGGGATTGAAGTGACGAAATTGTTTTGACGAAAATGGCCCCTCGCTAATATTTCAGATTGGGCGCAATGTTACGAGGACCCCGAAACTTGGCAAGAGCGCCAAGTTTCGTGCCCTTGCTCTTGGCAGGGGTGCACTTCGGCAGGAGCGCCAAGTTTCCTCCCCTGCAAAGTTTTGTTTTTCGATGCGAAAATAACTCCGTTTTCAACCCACTGGTTGGGGCATCTTGAGAAATGAACACGATTTTTTTCTGCCCTGATGTGCCACCAACTCGTCAATCGCGCGGGGAAATTTGTCAACAAACATATATTACAATATATATACATACATATATATATATATATCTAGTTAAGGTAGACATGTTTGTTATATTTAGCCTAGCTAGATCAGCTCTAAGAGAGGACAACACACTACTTGTATCTCCCCTCCTACTTTCTAGTCAAATTCCTCTCGCTAGTTTCACATGGTATAGAGCTAGGTTATAACAAATACCTAGCACCACGTTTCCACTGTACTGTATCTCGTTTTTTTTTTTTTTTTTTTTTTTTTTTTTTTTTTTTTTTTTCCCCGCGTAATCCTCGCTCTCATCATTTCGCGCTTCATAGTCCCCCCCCCCCTTCCCCCCTCCTCTCCCCCAGCGTTCCCCTCCGTTTCCTACGCAGCCTGCCACCTAGCGCGTACGCCGACTAGCCCCCTCGCTAGACAGTTCGCTCGCTAGCCAGCTACCTAGCCAGCGCTAACTGCGCCAGCCTGCCCACCCACCCTTCCCTTGTCGTTTAGCTCCTGCTGGCTGCCATCAGCTCATCGCCAGCTGGCACAACGGCCAGCCTACCAGCGCGATCACCAACAGGCTCGCCGCCAGCAGTGCTAGTCAGCTAGCCGCTAGCACCGCCAGCCAGCAGTGCCTGCCAGCTCACCGCCAGCAGCAACTGCCAGCTCGCCGCCAGCAGCGCCAGCCAGCTCACCGCCAGCCAGCACGCCACCAGCAGCGCCAGGCAGCTTGCCACCAGCAGCCCCAGCAGTGGGCGCACCACTGGCTCGCCAGCCAGCAGCGGCCAGCATGCTGCCTGCTTGCCGCTAGCCGCTAGCACGCCGCCAACTCGCCGCCAGCAGCCGCCCACCGCTGCTGCTAGCCGCCAGCAGCGCCAGCAGCGAGCGTGCCACTGGCTCGCCAGCCAGCCACGGCCAGCAAGCCGCCAGCTTGCCGCTCACCGCCAGCACGCCGCCAGCTCGCCGCCAGTAGCCGCCGTCGCTAGCCGCCAGCCGCCGCCAGCAGCCGCCAGCATGCCGCCAGCAGCCGCCAGCAGCTGCTGCTCGCCGCCAGCAGCCGCTAGCCAGCGGCCGCCAGCAGATGCTAGCCGCTGCCGCCAGCCAGCTAGCTGCGACTCGCTAGCCAGCTGCAGTCTATAGCTACCAGCCAGCAGCCACCCGTCACCCGCTAGCCATCAGCAGCCGCCACATAGCGACCTCTAGCAGCTGCTAGCCGCTGCCACCAGCCAGCTTGCCACTCCGCAGCAGTCAGCCGCCACCAGCTAGCACCCGCCAGCCAGCAGTCGCTAGCCAACCGCTAGCCTCTGCCGCCAGCCAGCGACCACCCGCAACCATTGCCGCCTACTGCCTACTGCCACCCAGTGCTTCACTGCCACTACAGCTGCTCCTGCTGTGGCCACTGTTGATACCACTGTCGCCGCTGCCGCCGTTAGCTACCGCCATCTGCGGCCTTCTCCACTTGTCGCCACCAGCCCACTATTCCAGTGGCTACTGCTGTCCCTGCTGCGGCCGTCGTCCTCGCCACCTGCGCGATGGCATCCCAGCCTGCCGCTGTTCTCCGCCTGGACGCTGAGGGTCGCGCTGTGGGCTTCTTGGCCTGGCTCGTCGCTCTTCTCGCCAACTCACGTCCATCCGCCAGGACGGCCACGCCCTTATGGCCCACACTTTGGGAAAGCTAGTTGCCTCCCCAGAGCCCGCTGCCCTTGCGACTGACTCGACGTCTGAGCAGCGGACTGAGTTCGAGACTGCCCTAGCTGGGGACTGCGCAACAGCAGTATCCGCAGCAACAATAGCCGCACCTCCCGTGGGGCTCGGCGCGCCCTGGGAGTGGTGGTCGTGGTGGAGGTCATTGAGATTAGGCCTCAGGGTTGTCTGTACCCTGGGGGTCGTGTGGCTCTTCTGTGAGCAAGAGAGATGGTGGTCTTGGAGGCACGGTGACCTGCACGTTTCAGGTGCTGACCGACCCGCAGGCAGGCCAGGTCTGGAGGTCCGCGGGGCACACCGCTAGACAACCTCTACCGTCGCCACTTCGGCCCTCTGGTGCAGGTGCCCCACTGGCCCACCTTGCTTCTTTGTGGTGTTCCAACCTTTCATCTGGATGTGTTTCAGATAGATCATGCCCTGTATTCTCTGTATGCTGATGACTCTAGTGTTGTCGGTTCTTATTATATTGTTGTTTGTAGCCTCGGAGCTTGTGAGAGCAGGACAGGTTTCCTAGAAGCAAATACTATTTCTATATTTTCTAGGATACTATTGATTACCTAGAATACTCCTTTTAATCACTCGGATTATTTTATTTGGATTATTCTCGGTTATCATAAGTGTATGTGTTATCTAGATTAACTGTTGTGTGCACCGAGTGTTCACCGTATTTCGGCGAATCCTCTAGTGCTTCTAGAACAGTTGCTTCTAGAGGGAAATGGTTCCTTTCCGAAACATTCACGTTTTAGCTAGACTCGCGCCTCGCTCGGAGGACCTTGCGAGTGCTCGCCTATAATTTGTGTTGTTCCTTGGGATTCAACATCCAATATTCATTCTATAGTATACATTCTCTTCCGCACTACGCATAGC